GACGAAAGCCAAATGAGAGAGAGAGAGATAGACACAAAGAGAGAGAGAGAGAGAGGGTACAAAACAACACCTTGAAAAAAAAAAAAAAAAAAAAATGTCGAAATTCTACGACGATCTCCTCTGTCTCCTTCCCCCCCTCCCTCCCCTCCCGCTTCGGCCGCAGCGTGGTTGCGGCGGGTCCACTTGTTATAAAAAAAACAAAGACCGAAAAACAAAAAAAAAATTGATGATAGTTGTTTCATCGGAGTTGCACTGAGTTATAAGGAGCCTGAACCCTCAAAAATCTCTGGAATCTTCGTATTTGATGGTTTAGGTGATAACCCTTTGACCCTTGTTGAAGGCAGACTGTCCCCAACTTCCCCAAGCGAAAGAGAGCAGTAGGCAACAACCTTGCGAAGCACCTGGCAACGCAGTAGAGGCAACACGACTACACAATGCCAGAAAAAACGACTGCAAGGAACGACACGACAGTGGATGACAGCTGAAAGGCACAACAACCATGCAGTGATGCACAAGGCAACCCAAGCAAGACAACCCCACTGCAAGGGACGACAGGGCAAGCGGACCAGCAGATCAGCAACCGTGCAGCGAAGCACAACGCAACAAGAACAAGGCAACCATCCAGTAGGCCCACAAGCAGCAAACACGAAAGGCACGACCAGCAGATGTGAAGCAAGGCAGCGGAACAGCGAAGAGCAAGGCAACACCAACAACACCGCCACATCACACAACGAAAACATCAACCTACAAAGAACCACATGTGAAGCAAGCGGGACAGGCAGCAGGGCAACGGCGGAGCGCAGACGAGGTCATCCACACATCCAACATGGAGCAAGGCGGCACATGACCTACTCACATCACGATTGAACCCCGCACAATGTTGGTACCCACCACCCATTGAGCCTGGGAGACACTCCGATGAGCATCCGCCATCATCCACAGGCAACACAAACATCCCAAACCGAGCGCCCCCCCTAAGAGTGCAGTAGGCACTCCGAATGTGGACCCACCAACTGCTTGGCACTACTTAAGGGTGCTTAGTTGAGTAAGCAAAAATATTTGGAAAAAATTGGACGGAGAAGAAACAACAAGCGGAAAACGGACCGAAATAAAAACTGATTTTGTGTGTGTGTGTGTGTGTGTGGCATGTGTGTGTTACATGAGTCATGTGTGAGTACGACATATCATACCGAAGGATCCCTACAGATTAGCAAGGACCCCTCGTGGAGCAGAGATGGGCATTAGACTTGTAGATTGCCTGTGTGGGCCGAAAATATGTAGTCTGGATTCAAATTCAGGTTTGTGGCACTCTGTGCATCACAGTTATGGGTCACTAATTCTCTGTTTTCTCGCTTTTCTTTGTTTCTCGTTTTTCTTTTGTTTTCTCATTTTTCTCTTGTTTTCTTGTTTTTCTTTTGTTTTCTCTTTTTTTTTTTTTTTTTCCCTCGGTTTTCTTAGGAATACGTGGAGTGGCCCTAAGGGCCTCTACTCACCACGTGCTGAAAGGCCTTCCACGATTTAGACCCCAAATTCGGGTCTCAGGGTCAGAGGCCCTGTCCAAGAAAGAGTCGAGTTAGTCAATTTCAGAAATGTCATAGTCGGGTACCTTAGCAGTCTAGTCCAACAGGCACCCAACAACACAGTCACATCTTAGGGGCAAAAATCACGTTTCATAATGAAAAGTCATATTGAAGAGTCATATCCGACGAGTAAAGGGCAGTTCCACAGGCCAGATTCATGTCGTAGTGGCAGGAGTCATAGTCCACAGTCGAAATCATATGCCAAAATCGAAAAGTCATGACTCAAAGGCCCAAGCAGCAGCAGAGCAATGGAAATTTGGGAAGGTTCCACGCGTTGACATTTGAAAGCAGACACGCTGTGGGCCTCTACTCACCACATGCACAAAAGACAAAACATATGGCCGCGTATTATTCCACGTTCTAGCAGAAGATCCTCTTTTTTTTTTTTTTTTTTGGAAGCCCAGGGKGTTGTAGAGGCCAAGGACCACACCCGTGGTGATTGCTGGTAGCAGCAGCCAATGGTTGTCCTGACAGGACAGGCCACCTACCCCACCCATCCCCACGTTAGTACTCGGATATACTCCCATCGCACCCTATGTCCCTATTATCCTGCCTCAGTGTGACCAGCACTAAGGACCATCACCCTACGAGTATTGAGGGCAACTCCCCCATCCCCCAACCCCCACCGCCCCCAGTTGTGTGTTTTTTTGTGTGTTTGTGTGTGTTGTGTGTCTTTGTGACTGTGTGTCTGTGTCTGTGTGTGTGTGTGTGCGTCTTTTTTTCCTTTTTTTTAATTTTTTAATCGTTTTTATTTTTTTTAAAATACACGATGTCAATTTGAAAGCAAAACCAAAAAAATATGTTGTTGTACATCTTTCAAAGATCTACAACCCTATATTTTTTATTTGGTTTTCGTTTTTTGTTTTAGCCCTTAAAAAATATCTGTGGAACCCAAAAAAACAAAACACTCATTTCATTTTTGTTTTCGTTTTTTTCACTGTGTTTATGTTTTTTATTTTTAAAAAATATACTCAAACATCAAAAAATAAAAATACAAATATAGGGTTGTAGTCCTTGAAAAGACTTACAACCCCATTTTTTATTTTGTTTTTGGATTACGTTTAGACCAGAAAAAAAATCATTGCGGACCCCGTTTATTTGCGTCTAACGTGCTTTTAAACGGGAT